TTATTTCGTAAAAAAACTAAAAAAATACATTTCACAGAAAACTACACAAACCACGACAACTCAGTTTAACACCAAACGTTTCAGTATTTAATGTGTCCACTCTTTGCCTACATTACATCTTCCACTCTTTTTCAGGAGACTCGCTTTTCTAATTTGCAAAGAAATCTGCAGGAACATTTTTTTCCATATTTCCAAAGTTCACTCTTAGAAGTTGGTTGCATTTTGTGTTTCTCACATTCCAAGCAATCCCAAAAATGTATTCAGACTCATCAGTCCATAAAACCATAGATGTTTAGATGAGATCCCATGTGTCAAACACAAGGACCGCGGGCCACATCAGGCCCACCACACAATCCTATCTGGCCCACCAAAATATTTTATTAGCCAGTTTCACAATGTGCTGCACTACAGTCCCCAGCATGAACTGCAACGTAATGTGCTCCGACTCTCCTACCCCAACAACAGTCTATGGGGCAGCAATTAAACCTCAATTCTACACAATTCTGCACAATTCCACACCAGTCAGATTGCCAAAATGCATTTCAGCAGCAGTTCAACCAGCATAAACACTAAACATCAGCTCAGCAGCTCAGAAACTGAGCCCATGTCTTAATGAACTTGCAGCAAAGAAAGGATGCCAGGTGTCTAGTTCAGGTGTACAGGTAGGTTTAAAAGACTGAGCACCTGGGGACGTTTAAATTTTTAATATTTCAAGTGTCCATGTAATATTTCAAGGTCTACTAAGGGTCTGTATTTTACTATTGAGTTTTAGCATATTTTGAATAAACAATGGCCAGTTGGGGTTACAGCACAACATTAATTAAAAAAATTAAATAAAAACTTTTTCTCTGACCCACAGATGTGATGAGATTTTTTAATATGGCCCTTTTACTGGCTGAGTTTGACACCCCTGATTTAGACGTATAAAATTTTCCTTTTTTCCCTTTTCTCAGTGAGGTTCTTCTTGACAGCTACACATCCTTTTAGACCCATAGCGCTGAGTCGTCTTCTCACAGTGGAAGGATGGACAGAAACACCTGTGGATGTTTTCAGATCTGAAGCAGCTTGATTTTCTCCTCTCTCTCAAAGATGGAAGCTTTAAGCACCGTTTATCTGATGGGGGCAGTTTTTGGTGTCGACCACGTCCTGCGTGGTTGTTAGGGGTCCCATCTATTAATCATTTTCCATTTTCGGAAACTCCTTTGTTTTTCATTCACTGTCCTTTGATTTCTCCTTTATGTACGTAGGTTATCTTCTATCTAATCTCTCCAAAAAGAACCTCCTGAATAATGATTAACTTGTACTAAATGGCTGTTTAGAGTGGAAATTAGATGTTGGTAGATAGCAGATTTTTCGCCAAACTAGGCCTATTCCTTTAAAGTGTGACAGTCTGATGATGGTGACCAGTTAAGACAGCACCATTTATAAAGCTTATTTCCATGAAGGCGAGCAGTGGAATTTTCCATAAGGACACTACAAGAGACTTTTTCACAAACGCGCTTCCGGCCTCCGGAGCATTTCAGATGGAAAATCACCAGCATGTAGAACAAGTAGCAGGCCATGTCGAAAAAAAATAGCTTTGATTTAATGACAGACACAGAGAAAGCGGGAGAGAGAGGGAGAGAGAGGAAGAGAGAGCATCCTAGATGAATAATTCAAGCCCATGTCCTCCTCCACCAGTGAGAGAAAGCCTGTCATGCAAATGACCCAGCAGAGCCACTTTAGGCAGGGAAACGCTAACTGGCAGCATGGATGTGCAGTCACGGATGGGCAGGAGAGCCTGCTGTGGACGAGAGGATGGAGGGATGAGGGGGCAAAGAACAGACTGGAGAGTAAGTCATAAAAAAGCAAATGACTGATTCAGGAACGGATAAAGAAGATGGACAATAATCCATCTGTGGTAATTCCATTAGCAGCAATGCCACTGAGTTCATGTGACACCTGTTAAAATCCAAACGTGTGAATAAATGCAGTCAGTCACTGTGTGATTAGTTTAAACCATAAGGAAACATCACACTGACTGACTGAGATACACTATATGGACAAAAGTATTGGGACACCCCTCTTAATTTTGGCATTCAGGTGTTTCAGCCACACTCATTGCTAAAAGGTGGATCAAATTAAGCTCATAGCCTTGCAGTCTCGACAGATAAACACTGGGTCGTATTGAAGAGCTCAGTGCCTTTAAACATGGCACTGTCATAGGATGCTGCCTCTGCCACAAGTCAGTTTGTGAAATTTCTGCCCTGCTAAATCTGCCCCAGACAACTGTAAGTGCTGTTATTGTGAAATGGAAGCATCTAGGAACAACAACAGCTCAGCCACGAAGTGGTAGACCACTCAAACTTACAGGGCGGGACCACTGAGTGATGAAGTCCACAGTGTCTATCCTCTGTTGAATCATGCACTAAAGAGTTCCAAATTGCCTCTGGAAGCAACATCAGCAAAAGAACTGCATGTTAGGAGCTTCACGAAATAGGGTTGCCATGGCTGAGCAGCT